TACAGAAACATTTATCCAGAAAGCTATGGAAAGAGGGACTGGAAAAGGTTATATTACTTAGCCACAATTTTTTTTTCTCTGATCCATCATTCATTGTCTTCAAACAGATCTTTCTCAAGGAGCTTATACTTTCCATACTTAATTGTCACAATGTAATATGTTTGGCTTTTAGGCTATTATGATTTATAACAGAATAAGGATTCTTAACCTGGGGTCTGTGATAGATTTCAAGGAGGGTAGTGTCTGTGATCTCAGATGGATAAATGAATTACATCTTGATTTCAGTATGCTTGGTTTCCTTTGTGATCCTATGTATTTCATTTTGTGCATTTAAAACATTTTTCTGATAAGTTCATAGATTTCACCAAGTTGCTAAAGGGGTCCATGACACAAAAAGGGTTAAGAAACCTTGATCTAAAGAATCTAAAATGGTTCAAATGCCATTAGGCTGTACCCCTAAGGCTGGAATGGTGAGTTAATAAGTGGATGAACAAATGAAAAGCATTAAATAAGCATTTACTCTATGCTAGGAACCAGAGATACAAAAACAAGCAATCAATATACTCCCAGTGCTCTATGCTCCATTCTTATCTACTTGGACACTATCTGCTCAGTTTTTAATGTCCTCTCTTTCCTCAAATTATATTGCATTTATAATTGTTTAAAATTCCCTTCACTAGAATTTTGGTTCTTTGAAAGATGAGGATTGTTTTTCACCTTGATTTTGTATACCCAGAGTTCAATAGAGTGAGCTGGACACAATAGGCACTAAATAAATGCTGTTGGATTAAATAAAACTGAATGACTCAGAAGTCCCAATAGTTTCATAACCATGGGATGGTATTATATGATAAGGCAAAGTTTCAACAGACTATCTAAAGGAAAGCTGGAGCCTGGCCACAATGCCTTCTTCTTCACTAGAACTTAAAATATGTATATGTATATGTATATGTATATGTATATGTATATGTATATGTATATGTATATGTATATGTATATGTATATGTATATGTATATGTATATGTATATGTATATGTATATGTGTATGTGTATGTGTATGTGTATGTGTATGTGTATGTGTATGTGTATGTGTATGTGTATGTGAATGTGTATATGTATGTGTATGTATATGTATATGTATATGTATACGTATACGTATACGTATATGAGTGTGTAGGTATATGTGTATATACACATACATGTATGTGTATGGATGGATGTATATGTGGATGTATGTGTGCATGTATAATCTATGCTAGTTTGAAGGAAACAATCCCACAAAATTAGATAACGTCCTTACCAAATGCAAAGTCTAAATTAAAGATGTTAGTGAGGGTCGTTTAAAGTGAACTCTTTCATCCAAGTTTAACTTGAGAAAAATTTCCAATTGCCTATAACCTATGCATTTAACTGAATCAGAATTTCATTCCAGAGGGTTAGTTGAGATCAAAACACAAACCTGTGTCTAATCAGCATATCAGTGTTAGCTGGAATTATGCCTTTGAATCACTGTAACTAATGGATACGAAGGGCAAAGTTTTCACCCAAAGGATATTTAAAAATATGTTTGGTCTTTTCCCTAGCCATTGTTGATTGACATCAGACCCCCTGCACACTCCGTACTGTATTTTAAAGAAAATTATAAGATGAACTAATTTCTACCCACAGTTTAACCTCTTTTTCTCCTCAGGTCCCCTATCCTTCAATAATCTCTAAGGTGGTGAGAGACTACTTCATGGAACTTGGTAATGAGCAAGCTCAACAGATTGTGAATGGAAGGGAGGGTGGGGTGGAATCTGTCCCTCCCATCATTGGGGCATGCTCAGTAGGAAGACATTGTCCTTCCCTTAGTCCAGAAATAATGCCTTGCACATATTTATGAGTCCTTGATTGCATTTTTATTCAGCAGTACCCACTATGACACTCATTCCACAGTCAGTCACTCATAGAGGGAGTGAAACATGGCTGCCTAGCCTCGTCCTCCTCCTTTCCTAATATATGTGCCATATATCAGTTTCATTTTTTTTACTTATAATGTATACAAATGCTGCACTACTTTGCTGCCTTCTCCATCATACACCTGCATCAGGTACCTTCCTTAGTCTAAACTGTGGTTCTCTCCAGATAGTCTCACAATTACAGCAATTACCTGTACCACTTTTGATAAAGTCCTGAGAGTGTATCACACATACTCTTCATTCTCTTTACTTTGGTAAGGTATTACTAGCCTAAGGACTGATCTCTAAAGAGGAGACTATTAGGACATAGTGCCTGGCATATAGTAGGAACTTAACAAGTACTTGATTAATTAATTGCTCTTCTTCAAAATCTCATGATACAACCTTTGCTGTTAAGTGTCCTTTTTGTAAGCTCCTTATAAGTAGAAATTATTCCATTCTTTGTACTGGTATCTGGCTCATAGTAGACATTTAAAAAACATTTGTTGATTGATAGATTTCCTGGTAGGATTTAGATCAGGACAAAGGCCTCACGTTCCATGCCTAGAATCTACTCATTCCTCACTTCTGCTTCTTGGAATTCCTGTTTCCTGGTAAGGCTAACCTCAGATGCTACCTCCTACAAGAGGCCTTTCCTCATTCCCACTATTGTTAATGCCCTCTCCCCAAAAAAATTTGTACTTACTTTGTTTATATGTTTTACTTTCAGATCTATGTACATGTTGTTTTTCTACAGAAAAAAAAAGTTCCCACAGGGAAGAGACCGTATCACTTTTGTGTTTTTATCCCTGGCAAAGTGCCTGGCAGGTAAGGAAAGTGTGACTGGATTTGTGATTTCATTGGTATAGGGAACTCCCTCCACCTTAGTCAGCACATAGAATTGAATCGAATCAGCTCATTGAATCAAATATTCTTTGGCGCCCTAATAGTCCCACACTCTTGAAGAAATCAAAGAAAGAGGAAAAGGATCTATATTTATAGCATTTTTTTTGTTATAGCAAAGAACTGTACAGTAAGAGGATACCATCAACTGGGGCATTACTGAAATTATGCTAGATAAATGCAATGGAATATTATTGTGCTATAAGATATAATAAAAGGCATAATTTCAGAAAAACCTAGGGAGACTAGTATGAACCAATACATATTGAAATAAGCAAAATGTGGGCAACAATTTATATAATAACAGAAATATTTTAAAGAAATATGACTTTGAAAGACTTAGAATTCTGACCAATATAACAACCAAATATGATTTCAGAACAGCAGCAATGAGACCTGCTGCCCACCTTCTAGCAGACTGGAAGTACAGAATGAGTCGTATATTTTTGGACATGGCCAATGTCCAAACATATTTTGCTTGATTATGCAAATTTGTTATGACAGTCTTTCTTTTTTTCTTTTTCTTATTTCAATAGAGGAAAGGAGTTGGAGGTGAGAAAATGGGCTAGGTTGTTTAAAACATTGAATTTTTTTTTAAAAGAGAAGCATTTTTAAAGTACAGAAGAGAATGGAAGGTAAGAAGGAAACACAAACATACAAGAAATCTTTGAAAGTTACAGGCTGAATTTATTATATAGCTAAAGAGAAAAGGAAGTTTTACATAATAGTGATTCATGGTTTAATGTTCAATCCTATCTTTTTGTACTTTGCATATGGAAATACTCATTTTATTGTTAAGTTCAGAATAAAAATAAATGCAATTGTTCACAAACGAAAGGGTTTAGACAATACAAAAGACAAAAATGATAGGACTCTGGAATCTAGAAGGAACTTTAGAGGGCATCTAAGGCAACTCCCTCATTTTCATCTGCCTCACAATTTTTCCCAGTTTTTCCAAACCTTTTCCAACAGTTCCCAATTTTCCAACCTTACCTGGGTTCCATCTAAACACTACATATTACTCCAGTCAACTATACAATTATCACAGGTGCAAGCATTATCTAAATGAAAATTCACTTTCAGTTCAATTATATAATTTTTCTTAATCTCTCTCATGACTTCCTTTTAACCCCTGCTAGGCAGCATATGGTTTTGGGGGGTTTTTTAGTTGGTTGATTAGTCATGTCTGACTCTGTGTCTCCATTCAGGGTTTTCTTGGCAAATATATGGGAGCATTTTGCCATTTCTTTCTCCAGTTCATTTTATAGATGAGGAAACTGAGGTAAACAGTATTAAGTGACTTGTCCAGGGTCATACTGCTAGTAAATGTATGAGATCAAATTTGAACTCAAGTCCTCCTGACTCCAGAGCTGGCATTCTATCCACTATGCCACCTGGGTACCCTATTGGATGTACTACTGGAGGCCAGATGGTATAGGAAGAAGAAAATAGCTACAACTAGGAATGCTAGCAACTGGAGCAAATTTATTTGAGATGAAGTCAGGGATGGAGACAGAGATCCCTGGACAACCAAAGCAGGTGTTCAGCTGTGGTGCCAGAAAACCTAAAGATCTAACTGCAGTCATTCACCCTATGAGTACAGTGTGGCTCTGGGCTCCATCATGCCTCAACAGCACAATGCAGACAGTGTGGTCCAATCTGGCACAGTCGCATCAGTGGGGGAAGGTAGGCCTTGCGATTAGGATATGGTGACAATGTAACTTTCCCAGATGTATGGTAAAAGACAGCAAGTTGTACTACAGTAGCTGGGTCCACTGTATTGGAAATCACCAAACCCCATGTCCAAATCCTGGGGCAAAGCCCCACGTTCCCTGAATTAGTTATGGATCTAGAAAAGAACCCTGGATTTGGAAACAAGAGACCTGGATAAAAATCTTGATTCTAACACTTAACAACCTGTGTGACCTTTAGCAAATAACTTTGCCTCTATGCAATTCAGTTTCCTCATCCATCAAATAAAGGGATACATGTCCCTTCTATCTCCAAATCATATATTCTGATTTGATGGGAGATACCAATGCTCCCATATCTGCTAAGCTAAACCAGTGAACTCTTTTGACATGCCAGAAATTAAGGATGAAAGGAAAAGGAAATCAGTAAGATTAAGATTCACCAAATTTATTTTCTCTGTTTGCACACTACTGAGTAGGAACAGTACACCTGGAGAGACAGGAAATACCTCTGCTGAACAGCCAGCTTATCAAGTTCAAGGCTTCCATTTTGTGACTTGCTTGATGCCTTCCTTCAGGTGAACTGTTTCCTGCTTAAGACAAGAAGTGACAGATTGCATTCACTATGTATATATCGCCCTCAACCACCTTGGGTCACTCAAAAATCAAAAAGCTGCCCTGACATGACTTCAGAACACAAGTAACAAAGTAACACTTGTGCAAAGCATGGGATTATACAAAATACCCACATTTCTCATTAATGGCAGTGGTTGAAATGTATGATCTGATGGAAGGAGTACTGCAAGCCTAGAGACAGCATAGACAGCTAGCCTCAAAATCAGGAAAATCTGGATTCAAGTCCCACTTCTATCATCTACTAGCTGTTTGACTCTGGGCAAGTAATTTAGCTTCTGTGGTAGGTGAAATTTGAAATAATTGAGGAAACAAAGGTTTGCCCTTTGAAGAATATAGATTTATTAAGCAATGCATGCTGATTACAGAACAAATTGGGACCGGGCCTCCTCAGCTTGGCTCTGGACTCCAAACACAGAGGTAGACAGAGATTTTTATGCATTAAAAAACAATCAACAGGATATAAACCAGGATAGAAGATTGGGTAATCTGATTTCTAACTGGAGGAAAGATGATGGATTTTCATGTTGGGAGAGGGAAAGCAAGCAAGCAGAATTCCCTGAAATCAGAAAAAGAGATATCCTCTTCCCTTTCTCCCCAAGTGTCTATATTCAATCAAAGGAACAAGGAAATAGTAACATTGAGTAGTACAGGACTAGTTTTCAGCCAAGATACGGCTTGCTTGAGATATATAATTGAGAGAAAACTCTTTGTACCAATCTTTGGATCTGACTGAGTTTCTGGTCAGCACAACCTTTTTTGGAAGGCCCAGGCTGGCCAATTTTCATTTCTCTCTTTACTGTGCTTCACACTTTTTGGACTTCTAACCATGCTCCTATATGGGTGTTTTCATTCCCACCTAGTTCCACTTGATTTTTTTTTTCTAGCTCCCTTCTCTAGGTTGTCTGCTCTCTGAGGGCAGGGAACCTTTCTTTTTGCTTTTATTTATTCCTTCTTAGTATAGTGCCTGGTACATAGTAAGTGTTTAATCAGTACTTTTTGTCCTGTTTCTTCTTGCCCCCAATATAACTAATTTGTTGTTGTTGTTGTCCTGAGCACTCATCACTTCTCTCAACTCATTCCAAGCTTTACTACTTTTAACACTGTTCTTAAACTTTTGTGACAGAGACCCTCCTAAGGCTTAACCTGATGACCACTTTTAGTGATATATGTGGAAATGAAAGACAGCACCTGAAAGAATTTGGAATGCATCTAAAGTATTACGAAGTCCTAGGAAGGAAATTGAAAGACTTTAGGGCAAAGGTGGTATTTTCATCTCTGCTGTTAATTGAAAATAGGGATGTGAAAAGCAAAAGGAAGTTAGGGAAAGTGAGCAAATGACTAGGCAAGTCAACAAGCATTTATTAAACTCTTGCTACATAACAGACAATCACCTTAAAAGAGGCAACAGAATTTTATTTGATTTTAAGTGATTTCATAGAGTCATAGATTTAAAGCTAGAAATTACCTTAGAGGTCATCTAGTTCAACCTCATTTTACAGGTAAGGAAACTGAGGCCCAGAGAAGTTAATTGACTTGCACAAAATCCCACATGTAGTGAATGGCACACAGAATATTTGAAACCAGGTCCTCTGTTTCCAAATATCAGATAGTAGAAAGAGAATAAGTTTTGGAGTCAGAAGTCCCAAGTTTGAATCCAGATGTAGCTATTCTGTACTATCTTGTGGAAACCTGGGCAATCAATCAACCAACAAGCATTTATTAAGTGCTTACAATATAAAGTAAACAGAAATTAGGGGAGTTATACAGATCAGAATAGACTAAAACTATGCATAAGAATATTTGTGTTCTTCAACTTAAAGTGAGATAAGACCTTAGCTCAAGCAAATAAAGAATGAATGCTCTCACCAAGGAGACCCCACTCTTAATAATCTCTAGGGTTGAAGGCACTGGAAATCAAGGGACATACTGAAAAACAGGCTTCCTTCCATTTCTGTAGCTCCAGAGAAATCTGTCCCCCATTCTGTGCTTGCCCCTCATGATTACCTCTCACAAAAGCCTTCCTAGAAATGCCTGCCTCTTATATAGGTATATAAAGATTTGTGTCCATCCATTTAAACTCTTTTATTCAGTTCTGTGTGTGTTTGTGTGTGTGTGTGTGTGTGTGTGTGTGTGTGTGTGTGTGTGTGTGATCTACCCTCAGGATACCTGGCCAGAGTTAGGGTTGTTGTTCAGTCATGACTGACTCTTCATGACCTCACTTGGGGTTTGCTTGACAGAGATACTGGAGTGGTTTGCTGTTTCCTTCTTTAGCTCATTTTACAGATGAAGAAACTGAGGCAAACAGAGTTAAGTGACTTGTCCAGCACCACACAGCTAGAAAGCATCTGAGCCCAGATTTTAATTTATGAATTAATGAAAAAAATCCTGTCTCCAGGCCTGGCACTCAGTCTACCACTGTGCCACCTAGCTGCCCTAGCTAAAAGAGTTAGGGATGCAGTCTCAAATCTTATCCTCAAAAATATCACACTTTGGAGCAGCTAGGTGGTGCAGTGGATACAGCTCCAGCCTTGGAGTTAGGAGGGCCTGAGTTCAAATGCAGCCCCAGACCAAACATTTGACACTTACTAGCTGTGTGACCCTAGGCAAGTCACTTAACCCCAATTGCCTTTTAAAAAAAAGTATCATACTTTAAACAGTCAAGCTGACCAGTTAAGTTTGCAGCTCTAGAATATTTTCGCAGAAGGATCTCCATCCTTATTATCTATTCATTTGAGTATATACTGGGCTAATACTAACTAAAAATTTCAGTCCTTATGTACTGCACATAATCAGTACCACACAGCTTAGCACTTAATTGCCTTTTGTGTGTTTCACACGTGCTGGTTATGTCTCCATAAAAAGAATGTAAACTCCTGTTATCTGAAAAGGACTGGAGGTGGAATGGGGTTAGTGCAAAGTCAATGTGAGTCATCAATATAATATGTCAGCCAAAAAAGCCAATGAAATCTTGAACTGAAATAGCTTTCAAGAGTAAGGGATGGCTCCTCTGCACTCTGTTGTGGTCTGACTACATCTTCAGTACTGCTTTAACTTTGAGACACCATGATATTCAGGAGAATAATGATAAGCTGTAACGCATATAGAATACAGCAACTAAGATGGCGAAGGACCTTGAGACCACTTCATATAAAGAGTGATTGAAGGAAGTGAAGATGATGAAACTGAACAAAAGAAGACTAGGGAGATCATGATAGCTATCTTAATTACTTGAAGCTCTATCACATGAAAAAGACAAGTTCCCTTAGGCCCCAGATGGAAAAACCAAGAATAATTATCAGTTGATTTTACAACAAGGCAAATTTAGGGTTACTATCAGGAAAAACTTTCTAATAAATAGAGCTGTCCAAAAATGAAATGGACTGCCCTAGTAGGCAATGGATTTACTCCCTTTGGAGATCCTTAAGCAGAGGCTAGAAGATCATTTGTCAAGTATGTTCTAGTGGGGACCCATTTCAGGTGTGAGTTGGGTAAGATGGCCATTAATGTTCCTTCAAAGACTAAAATACTGTTTACTCTGTTTCCTCTCATGTACCCACAGATAGAATTTCTGTCTAAGACACAAGGGCTTTCTTTCAAGAATTACCGAAGTTAGGTATAGTCATATGTTTGTTTTTGTTTAATTGCAACTGTCTCTCTCTGATGTCCTCAGATATTACCCAGTTACCATTACACATTTAGCCCAAGGAACTGGTCCCACAACTCTATTTAGTACTATTTCTGGGTCTGCTGATTCCCTAGGCATGGTAAGCTTTGTAGTATTTCTCTCTCCTTTCTAACAAAAATATCTCTTTTTTGAGCTTGAGGTAAAATTTTGCTCAGATTGAAACAAACAATAAAACAGGCTCCCTTAAGCTAGACTGATACTCCTTCTGAGAAATTTGCTATATTGCTCAAGAATTTTCTTTATCAATATCAGGAAGTTTAAACAGATACGTTTTGTAGAATTTCCTGGTGAGGAAGTCTAGAAACTTAACAATTCATCATTTTATCCACTTGATCACCAACTTTGATATACAGAAACCAAGTGTCATATTGCATTGTTCATTATTTTAGTTATCACATCATATAAGATGTTTTGAAAGATTACTGGTTATATCTTTCATAGACTTATAGAGCTAAATGTTAATGTCCAGCCTCCTAAAGTTCAAAATAGGTTTGATTCAAACCCTATCATCCAAGACAAGCAGCTATCAGTCCAATTATTAAAGATAATTCAATAACTCATTTAAGAATCTATGAATATATAAACTCTTTTCCTAAATTTTAATGATTTTAAAAAAAAAAAGATCAAGAGGACTCCTGAGAAGCACTGTTGCATAGTATAACGTGTTAGATTTAGGACTAGAGAAACTTAATTCAAATCCCAGTTCTGTTACTGCCTGTGGACTTTGTTCTATTTGACTTCAGGGGCAGCTAAGTGGCACTATATTGGACCAGGAATCAGGAAGATCTGAGTTCAAATTCATCCTCAGATATTTATCGCTATAGCTGCCTACTAACCATAGGCAAGTCACTGAACCTCTGTCTGACTCAGTTTCATAATCTATTAAAAGGGGATTAAAATAGCATTTACCTCCCAATGTTGTTATGAGGTTAAAATGAGATACCTGTAAAGTGATTTTTCACCTTAAAGCTATATAAATGTGATTTGTGATGATTTGTGATAATGATGCCTATTGTGATGATGATGATGATGATGATGATGATGTCACAACCTATTTCTGGGTCAGCTTTCTCATCTGCAACAGAATAAAAAAGATGACCCTAGCAAGGTTGTAAGTTGTCAAATTTTTCAGAATGAGCATTAGCATCTAAAAAACTGGCAAATGCTACATATCAGGGTTTAATTTATTTTGCTGATTGTTTAGAATTAAGAAAGTGATGGAGAAAATATTAATATTGCAAATTAAACTTAAAAGTACATCCTATGGAAGAG